CTCTTGTAAAGGATGTAGGATTGTAAAGGATAATTCCTTATTCCTTATTTTTAATTCCTTATTTCAAGTAGCTGTGTTTTAAATTTATTTTTTTATTTATTTGTTTAAAAAAGTCGATTTTGTTCTTTATTTTAACAATATTACAAGAAATCCTTATCTAATTAGCATTCCAATGTCTAATATCATATTAATGATCGAATTTTTGAGGAAACAACCGACAAATTTAGTTTCGTCGTACATTGATCATAAAAATATCATTAAGAGTGTTTTTTAATTTTTGTTAAAAAAATATATAATTTGTCTTCTATTAACCATATTTTTCAATTTTTTTATTAAAATTATTCAGATCAGAATCATTTTTATTCTTCATTTTTTAGAACCTATTTCAGATTTAAACGAAGAATTCGTTCCAACAGTCGAACTAGTTTCAAATTGCACATTTTATTTTGTGCGATATGTTGAAAATTTTGTAATGTGCAAATTCCTATCAAATTACAAACTGATTTGGAAATATGTGGAAACAAAGCCTTAAAATTTCAATTTATATACAATTTTCAATTTGTCCTTTACTTTTTCTAAGAAAATACGGTCACATTCATATTTTTTTTCACATGTTTAAAAATTTTTAAACAATTAAAAGATAGCCAAAATTTATCTGAAAACTTGTCATTCGAGACATTAGCACGGGACGACTCTGTTACGCGTCTCCAATGAAGAAAAAAAAAATTAAATAGGAGCGAAAGAACGGGGTTGCGTAGATTGTGCAAGGCGATGTATATCGATGTGTCCTCGATGGTCACCAAGTTCGGCCAAAGAACCCGTTTGCGGCTTTTCTTGGACCGATATCTGCTCGCACCACCACCATCACACGCCGCATGTTCGTCGCATGTTTGGCCTCGTAAAAGTCACGCCAAGTTCGAGAGTGCGGCAAGAATCGCGCCAACATTTATCGTTCTAAATCCGACCGGCTTGCGGATCCGCTTTCGGGTCCCTTTATCGCTGACAGCGGTTTATTTATCTTCTGTTTATTCGCGATCACAAAGACGGTAGCTCGTTAGTAATTTATAAAAGTATTAATAGAACAAATTAAATATGTAAGTTTAAGACTCGGTTCTCTCGCAGCGCGACATGACTTGTGTGACGTCAGACGTAAGAAATGACATACAAAAAGCAGTTTCTTGCGCCGCATAGCTTTTTGTACTTTTTCCTTAAAAATACAATATTTTTATATTCTTAAAACTTGTAAAAAATATCAAAAAGTAAAATATCTGTTCAATAAATCACGTAAAAGTGTAAAATAATTCTTGAAATAATGGTCACTGCTCAGCTATCAGAAACAACTAGATCCAGTGATTTCTTATATCTAAGCAGCGTACCATTATTTCAAGAATTATTTTACATTTTTACATGATTTGTTGATCAGATCTTACTTTCTGATATTTTTTACAAGTTTTAAGAATATAAAAATATCATATTTTTAAAGGAAATGTACAAAATAAAGCTATACCACGCAAGAAACTTTTTACATGTCATTTCTCGCTTTTGACATTATAATTCAAATGGCTGAAGCGAGAGAGAGCCGAGCTTTAAATATAAATTTAATTTCCTAATCTGATAGTAAAGATGAGTCCGATCGAGAGATCTTGATTCAATCGCGGGATCGAAGGGAGTTTCTGGAATCGAAATCGACGTCGACGCGTCTTCGTGCTTTAACGCTGTCCTTGTCCGCTGCGGTTGAAAGTATTTCCGTTCGGGTTCGTGACGGGAAAATTTAAGAGCGATACCGTCCGCCCGCGTTGACAAAGCGACGCCTGTCGCTTCGCAGAGTTCACGCTTGTAACTTGCATTTTTTACCTCAGAAATTTACCTGGAAATTATTTTACGTTGTATCTCAGACGGTTCTCCTCGTGATTGTGAAATGAGATGCTCGAAAATCATGCTCGGTAGATATTTTTATAGGCAGGAAGCGAGTTAAGGAAACGTGAAAGACATTAAAATACTTATTAACACGATTATATGCTAATGAACATTTATCTCGGTGATTTTATCTTCTAATTTTCAATCGCTGTGATCTATGACTCATAGTTTTCGTGACTGAGGCTCATAAAACGAGTCTTAAAGTCTTCTTGAACAGGCCACAGAATCCTGATTTACGAAGAGTAATTGAGCTTATTGAATTAAATAAACTGTGCTTTCTTTTCCTTTTTGATCGTCAAGCTACGAATATCACGGTCACGCTTGCCTTCCTGAAGAATTCCTTTTACGAGTTCAAGGAACTCCTCTGTTCTTATTCCTGGGCGTAAACGTTTTAGCGATACGTTATGGGAACGCTCCAGTCAGGAAATTGGCGGAGCAACGCCGCTTTTATGCACGATCCCGCGCGTAATTATCTCGAGACGAATCGAGCGCATCGATCGCCTCTCGTGAGAGGAGAGCCCTGCTTTCGGGGAATCTCCTGCATCGAATGGAATGCATTATACACCGGTTCAGTGACACGTCGAGGAGGAAAAAAAAAAACGAAGGAAAATAAAAATAAGAAGCTCGTATAAGTGCCAAATAAAATGTCACTGACAGTAAGACTGAACATACATCAAATACCGAGTCATAAAACTTGAAAAATCTAAAGTAGATACTATCGTTTAAAGAAAAGATCAGATTAGGATTCATAAAGAACATTCGTAATCTTAAAACCTTAACAAATATGACAACAAAGTTAATTATTATTTAATAGTAAATAATTTACATGTTACAGGATTTACATATTTTTATCTTACACGTGTATTTTAAATAATAACATCTTTAAATTAAAGATATTAAAATATTTAGTATCATTTTATTTAATATTATTATATCATAAATAATTTCAACATTAAATACTAATTAAAAATATATTGTAGTATTAATTTC